GGGGAAATTTTGGAGACCGTCTTTTTCAACGTTCATTACCAATGCCGTCGGCGTGGCGGCTTAGTGCGATGCCGGTGTCTCCGGAAACACTGGCCCCAAGGTCTCCCAACGTTTATGGCGCGCCGTATCGTAGCACGTAAGACTCCGATCTTTTCATCCCCGTAAACAGCCTTGTGAGCCGAATACAGTGACTACTAAGTTAGCCATGCTCCCCCACTCGGTGGGAGGCGGAGACGTGTGGCTGTTCTAATTTTACATTGATTACCTGGCCTTTAAAACCTATAATCAAAAACCAGTTCCGCTTAGCCACTCCCACTTGGTGTGTTCACGCGACAACCACGATGAGGTGGGATCTGGAATTGCCGCGGTAACCACTGCCTGCTACACAAGTAAATATCACACCAGTACTGCGAGAACTATAGGACGTAACCACTGCCTGCTACACAAGTAAATATCACACCGGTACTGCGGGTTCAAGAACAACTTGGTGCCCCCCTCCCCCTCCAGCCAATAAGACAAATTTAGTGTGTGACAAAAATGAGTAATCTAAATGCAAAGACATTCCGATGTAAAGATCGTACCTTTTTAAAAATAATAAGTTATCGGAATGGATGGTTTTAAGGTCATACGATGTGAATGGGTGGGCATTGCACAGTATTGGTTTCAAAATCAACCACCGCTAGAAAAGAAAACAAACAAACAAACAAACTTCGAATGGATGGTTTTGAGGTCATACGATGAGAATGTACGGGCATTGGCATGGTATTGGTTTCAAAATCAACCACCGCTGAAATCCGCTATCGGAAAAATTTAAATAGGCACTCGCTGAACATCTAAGAAAACATTTAACTTCTATAATTCATTTAGTATGGATAATCCAACTTAGGACTTGTATGACAGGCTCGAGCTAAATGGGAGATGGCATAAACACGGCTTGGTGTTGGACCGAATTGATGTTGGAAATCAAGTGCCAGTGCTTCTTGTGACTGAATTATAGACAGTATTATAAGCGCACATTCTTAAAAGCACGGGATAAAACGATATTATTAATAAATATCTATTCGTTTTAAGCATATGTTTTAAGACACATTAGGAAGTAATATGTAAGCATGTAGTTTAAATATTGGACTATTAGTGTTAAGTTAAATTTTAAATTAGGTGATGGCCAGAGACTGGATGTATATGTAACCACTGCCTGCTACACAAGTAAATATCACACCAGTACTGCGAGAACTATAGGACGTAACCACTGCCTGCTACACAAGTAAATATCACACCGGTACTGCGGGTTCAAGAACAACTTGGTGCCCCCCCTCCCCCTCCAGCCAATAAGACAAATTTAGTGTGTGACAAAAATGAGTAATCTAAATGCAAAGACATTCCGATGTAAAGATCGTACCTTTTTAAAAATAATAAGTTATCGGAATGGATGGTTTTAAGGTCATACGATGTGAATGGGTGGGCATTGCACAGTATTGGTTTCAAAATCAACCACCGCTAGAAAAGAAAACAAACAAACAAACAAACTTCGAATGGATGGTTTTGAGGTCATACGATGAGAATGTATGGGCATTGCATCGTATTGGTTTCAAAATCAACCACCGCTAGAATCCGCTATCGGAATAATTTAAATAGGCATTCGCTGAACCTCCAAGAAAAATTTAACATCTATATTTCACTTAGTATGGATAATCCAACTTAGGACTTGTATGACAGGCTCGAGCTAAATGGGAGATGGCATAAACACGGTTTGGCCTTGGACCGAATTGATGTTGGAAATCAAGTGCCAGTGCTTCTTGTGACTGAATTATAGACAGTATTATAAGCGCACATTCTTAAAAGCACGGGATAAAACGATATTATTAATAAATATCTATTCGTTTTAAGCATATGTTTTAAGACACATTAGGAAGTAATATGTAAGCATGTAGTTTAAATATTGGACTATTAGTGTCAAGTTGAATTTTAAATTAGGTGATGACCAGAGACTGTAGATGTATACGACGTAACCACTGCCTGCTACACAAGTAAATATCACACCAGTACTGCTAGGACTATAGGACGTAACCACTGCCTGCTACACAAGTAAATATCACACCAGTACTGCTAGGACTATAGGACGTAACCACTGCCTGCTACACAAGTAAATATCACACCAGTACTGCTAGGACTATAGGACGTAACCACTGCCTGCTACACAAGAAAATATCACACCAGTACTGCGAGGACTATAGGACGTAACCACTGCCTGCTACACAAGTAAATATCACACCAGTACTGCGAGGACTATAGGACGTAACCACTGCCTGCTACACAAGTAAATATCACACCAGTGCTGCGAGGACTATAGGACGTAACCACTGCCTGCTACACAAGTAAATATCACACTAGTACTGCGGGTTCAAGAACATCTTGGAGCCACCCGCTACCAGCCAATAAGACAAATTTAGTATATGACAAAAAAATGAGTTACCTAAATGTAAAGACATTCCAAATACATTCCTGCATGTAAGTAATAATGTATTAAAAGTCAATGTTTTTACAACTTCTTAACAGAGTCAAACTACTTAAAGTGTTTCAAATCAAAAACAAATGTTCTTTTTAAGTTCTAATGTGGGCACTAACTGGCCTTGAGGCATTGGCGTAATGAGCTCCTTCGCGCCATAGTTGCTACGCCACAGCTGTGGGCCCCTATTGGTTGTGGGCCCGGGTTCATTGAACCCCTTCGCGCCATGGATGCTACGCCACTGCCACCCAGGCAGGTAAAAAGGCAGGTTTCAATATTTTCAGAAAGAATATCAGAATGAAATTCTATCAAAGGTAAATGACAAAGAAGAATGGATAAAGAAGGTTGACAGATCTTAGTGGTGCCCCAACCATTTTTTGCAGACCAAGGGATAGATGAAAGTGATGTAGAGTAAAATATGAACCTGGCCTGATGTCTTTTAAAGATTATTTACTTGTTTTGAAAAGGGTCAATCTCTTATTCAAAGCCTCATAGAAAAAAAAATCGTAAACGAAATGAATGTAAGCTGCAGTGGTGTAACACATAGCCGCGCGCTATGAAAACCTACTTATTAATTGTTTTACATATGGTCCACTTATTTGCATACTAAATAGACTTTTTGTATTGAAAAAAAATATAACCATTTTTTTTTGTAAATATAGTTGTTATTATGAATAGAAATGACTAAACTTTGCAATAGAATTTAAAAAAAAATAGTTTTTTGACAAAAAATCTAAAACCGTTTGAATAAATGTGTTAAAAATATGGTAAATGGTAACCTCCCTTACTAAAAAGCTTCCAGTGTTTGTTACTATTAATAGTGAATCGTTGTAAAAATGGTGTATTTTTATGAAAATACTGCTTGCATAATTGATTTTTAAAAATAGATCTTTCGCTTTCAGAAAAGAAAAAAGTAGCCGTTGCATCAGAACTTTGATGGTCTAAAATACTAGGATGTCGGATTTTCACTCTCTTTTCTATTTTACGAGATCTAAACGGGACGAACGAACGGACGGACAGAAACACCACACAAAACTAATAGCGTCTTTTCCCCTTTCGGGGGCCGCTAATAAATACCAAAAAAAAAAAAGTGACTTTTGTGAAGACTTAGTATTAATATTAGGCCAATTATTATCGTCTTCAATGCTCCTATGGCATAGCTTAGTGCGATCGCTTTTTTGGACATATAAGGGGGGGGGGGGTATCTGGGAGAAGATTTTTGTGCTGTCTTTTGGCGCTCAGAACAAACCTCGGAAATAAAATATCCCTAGTCTACATTGCGAGTCCAATATAGGTTTTAGCCGGTGGTAGAGGAGCTGGCCATTTTTTGCATTGTACATTTTTCTTCCAGAGCTGAGGCCCATGTTCTTTCGCTCTCCATAGCTTTCTTGGTCACTGTCTCTCTCCATTTGGTGCGGTCTAGAGCTGTCTTCCCAATAGTCAGTATTGATGTTCACTGATTTGAGGTCATGTTCTATGTAACGGAGGTGGGGGCGACCAGTTTTTCTTGTGCCAGTCGCGAGTTGTCCATAGAGGATGACTTTCGGGATGCGATTGTCCTCCATCCGGCGAGCATGTCCAAACCAGCGCAAGCGGCGTTGTCTGAGAGCTGTAAAGATGCTGAGAATTCTTGCTCACGCAAGGATCTCAGTATTGCATACTTTTTCTTTCCAAGTGATTTTCAAGATCCTTCGGAGACATCTCAAATGGAATGAGTTTAGTTTCCTCTCTTGCTTTGCGTAGGTGGTCCACGATTCACTGCTATACAGTAGTGTAATCATAAAGCATGTCTTGCAGACTCCCATTTTGGTCACTGTAGTGAGCTCTAGGTTTTCCCAAACTCTTGACCTGAGTCTAGCGAAGGTTGAGGCAGCCTTCTCTATGCGTTTTTTAATCTCGAGATCCTCTTCTAGAGACAGGTTATCTTGAATTGTGGATTCCAGATAGCAGAATTCATTTAGGGCATCCAGTTTGTTATCATCTATGAGGATGGAGGGTGGTGCTGTAGCAGGTGGTCCCATAACATTTGTTTTCTTTGTGCTAATAGTCAAGACATATTCTTTACAGGCCTGAGAGAAGCGTGACATTAGTGACTGAAGTTCCTCTTGTGAGTGTGCCACTACCGCTGCATCATCTAAATGGTACTTAGCAACAAAAACTGGATCTCAGAAATCTTTTCCTTCTCTTTATATATATATATATATATATATATATATATACACGTAAGTGACATAAACAAAAAAAAGCCAGACATTTTTGCAGTTAAAGCCAATGCCTGACACAGATGGAAGCTAGCAAATAAATGATTCTTATTTAGAGCTAGATAAATAAGATAAATATGCCACTAAGATAAATATGCCACTAAGCTGAATATTTTGAATGATTGTAATTGATAATGTAAAAATTTTTTTTCAAAAACAAAGTTAAACTAAAATGATTCTTTGTGCCCATTTTGTTTCAATTTGTGTTCTAAAAAAATACTTATATATACACACACAAAATAGTTGCAGTTATTTAATATTTTTAATTTAATTTTTATTTGCAGGCAGCTTCAGAATGAAACAGCAGGAAGTCACTTACAAAGTTTGCGGGATACACATTTAAGACCAAGAGAAAATCCGCTGCAGAGGACAGATGTAGACAGTAAAAAGAAAATCTAAATCGACCACCAGTGGACAATGGTTATGCCTGTGCTGGATGGGGAAAAATATGCTGTAGCAGCTGGGGCTGCATAGCCATGGGAAATACTGCATTCCTCTTTAATCTTTAGACTCGAAGACAAGCCTTATTAATTTTACTCTAGAGAGTATCATGACAATAACATTTGAATAGTGGAAATAATTAACAGAGTATTTCTTTTAAAAGGTAAACATTGTGACATCCTTCAGCTATATAATCAATCCGAATTACAATAAAAACTTTTTTTTATAATTTGGTTACCAAACTCAAATATTTTATAGCTAATTTGTATTGTTTATATGTTTAAATTTTATATCTGAAATAATGCTTGTTAACTAATTAAAATTTACAAAAGTGATTAAATTTCAATATGTGTAACTTTTATTATATAATTTGCACTAAAAAAAAAAAAAAGGTTTTTTATTTAGATTTCCCTTAACTTCATGAAAGTTAAGTTTTAAGAAGGAAAAAAACAGCAGACTATAGAAAAATGTACATTATGAATGAAACAATAACAAAATGATCAATTAAAAGAAATACATTCTTTTAAAAATCTAATTGAAAAAAAAAAGATTTATTATAATTTTCTATAATTTAACACATTAAAAGTGGTAGTACTGATGATCAATGTCAGATTTTCAAAAAGTCAACATTGAAATTACAGATGTTCTCAAAATTTAGTCAAAATAATAATCATCATTTTTGAATAAGTAAAACTTATATTTATATAGAAAAAGCAATAATTTATTTAGAAAGGTACAGAAGTTATTAAAACAGTAGTATAAAAGCAATACTCTTTTTTTGTATAAACAAATTGAAACTAATTAAAGTTTTTAGGCAAAGGTTTGCAAATCATGCTCTCTAAACATTCAAACACTGTATGTGGGTCTTGGTCTGAATTGACATGTTGACCTTCTGTATAGTAATCCAATAACTCTTCAGAGAAAGCAACAAACTGAGACAAATTTTTCTGTACATTCTCAACACTGTCTTTTTCATTTTTCCACAATCTGTCTTTGACCTAATGTGTAATAAAAACATTGATATTAAGAAGAGTTATTTCCAAGTATAAATAGACAGTATCATGAAGTGTTGGGTCACTCCAATATCTCTTTACACTGTCATTAAAAGGAGAGACAAGCTATTAATCCCACGCCTTTCATTTTTAGGAATGACGAAGACTGTGATCAACAAAGCATTTGCCCATTAAAAAAAAGCATACTGAAGCTGATTGCAAGGGGGTTTTTTTTTGGCAAAGATCTATAATCCTGTCCACTGAATCTAGAAAATAATGATATTGATATTTGTTTGGATGAACATTTAAAGTGTGTGAAAAGAGCAGATAGAAAACAAAAAGGAGTGACTCATTTTTTCCTTCATTCATTAAGTTTTAAAATATTTTTGTGCTAAATGATCTAAGAGTCCAATGCTCTTTGGATTTGTTTATTACCTCTTGACTAATTGGTGGGTTGTACAACAGGTGATACTTCTCTCCAGTCACAGGGTCCATTGCACGCAGTGTTAATCTCTCAATGACAGAATCATTAGGAATGTCAAGAAAAAATACCCTAGAGCAAAGATTTTTAAAAAGTTAAAATGAAATGATGGAAACAAAACAAAACAAAAATGTACTGCTAGGGGTGAACAACTGTACAGAAATCAACATACATGAAGAAACCGTGCTGGATCAAAGTAAAAAAAACAAAGGACCTTTAGGCCATATGACCTAAAACAAATGAAAAAGACAAACTATAAATGCAAAATAGACTTCAATTTCGGGATTTTCTGAGTCCACCCAGCTCTACTTGGGTAGCTGACATTAGTTGGGGGAAAAGTAAAGGCGGTTGGTCGTTGTGCTGGCCACATTTTTTTGTTAACCATAGGCCACATAAACAAATGACCTTTACATCATCTGCCCTATAGACCACAAGGTCTGAAAAGGGATCTTTACTTTTACTTTACGGTACTTAGACTTTATTTACTTATCTGCCTGATGTTGTTTTCTATCAAAGCAGAAAAAAAAAGGCAGAAAAGAAATGAGTTCCACTGGTGTACAAAAGCATGAAATTGGGAAGAGGGGGGGTGCTGTCTAAAATAAACAGACAAAATGTTTGTCTTTATCTCATTTCAAACAAAAGTGTGTTGATTGTTGATAAGTTTATTTTCAATATGCAGACAGGGTATTTTTGTCATTGAGTTGTTGTATTGCAATAATGAGGACATCAGAGGTACTTATATGTTGTGTCCTATTAAAATGAATTGAAACAATTTTGAATGTTTTTACGGTGTTCTTAGGGATGTGTTTTTAATGTCCAGCCTGTGTTTCCAATGTGAATCATTTGGCACCTTGAGCATATTTATTGCATATACCATCCCACTGCTGTTACAGTTAAATTTACTACTGATCTTATGGGTCATTTTAGGACAAAGATAATGTGAACAGCAAGCATCCCTTAGCAGGTGTTTGAAGGTCTGACTGTTATGTCTCTCCCATGGCTGAGTGTCACGTTCATTCATTTTGTATGGAGTTCTGTGCGCACTAATAGTTCCTGTAAATTATTCTCATGAGAACCATTTAAAATTTGCAAATGTTAAGCTCTAAGAAACCCATGAATAGGCAAGTATAGGATGGACTGGATGCCTTACCCATGGCTACTCCAATCATTTGTAAAAAAAAATTGTCCAATGTATTCAAAAAGTTGAGAGTAAGTACAAGATCCATTAAGTGAGCTAGAATGTCAGTAGATTTGTGCTTATTTTGAAAAAAACGTATCAAATGGCTCTGAAAGAGGATTAATCAATTAAATTTGAGTACACAAATGACTTCAAAGATGCCATCTGTTTTACATACACCAACTGTAGCGTTACTTTGAATTTTTTTACTTTAATCTAGCAGGGTTTCCTAAGTGTATGTTTATTGTATTTGGAAACAAAACAGTTATAGCCATGTAAACAAAAAAAGTTTTACTTTATGAAGTCATTGTCAAGATTGTGAATTAATTGCAATGATAACTTACCTATTAGGCCTGAGTCCTGCCTTGTCTAGTTGTTCTGCTTGTTCACGGCTGCGAGGGTATTCATGCAAAACCCAACCTCTTGTTACACAGTCCAAACGACACAACCTGTCCTTCAAAATATCCAGCACAATGTTGTCTGGAACTTTAAAAAAAAAGTTGTTTTTTTTTCAATGCTAGATAAATTGTTAAAAAAAATTTCTTAAAAAGACTATAATTCTAATGTGCATAATCTTCAGAAGGACTTAGATTCTATTTATGTCTCATTTCACTAACTAATCACAAAATTTGTTTTTAGCTACATTGACCAACTTACTGATTAAATTTTTCTCAACGTAAGGCTTAGCGGCTAGTCCAGATGGTGTTTCTTGGGCTATTGACTGCTTGATTAATTGACCGCAGTGAACTAAATGAATCAAAGAGAAAAATAAGTTTAGACAAAACAAATGCTAAAAATCATAAAATATACTGACTCTCTCTTTCTCTGTTTAACAGTTTAAAATTAAATTTTATTTTAAGTGAAAATAGTTAAATTTTTCTCTTCTTCCTTTATCAAATACTTTGCATTGAGTAAATGGCTGCCTATCAGTCAGTGCCACTGAAAATTGCATACACTATTTTTTTTTAAATAAGTTTATATCCCAACCATTTAAGAAGTGTATTTTGTCATGTACTCCTATTCTGACAGAAATAAGTAGTGAAATCAGATAGATGATCTATAGGTTATGGTAAGTTGGCTTTTGTGGTTATGGTTATTTGGCACATTAGCGCATATCAAGCCATGTCATTTCTATTAATGCTCATCAGGAGTATCTTTTAGTGTACCCCAAAAATCCTAAAAGGAATGCTAATAAGCAAAATATTTTAAAAATCCTTTAAAAAAAAACAAAAAAAAAAAACAAGCTTATCTAAGAGAAAGAACTCTGCACTTACAACTTTATCTCTCAATAATGTGCATGTTATTTTCATTAATTGATATCAAACAAAATAATTAATTAACAATAATTAATTGGCTGATTGAAATTTTTTTTAACATATATATATATTTATATATTTATATAGCTAGTAAAACGCTTTTTTATTCAACAAGCATTTCCTAGGATTTTTAAAAGATGAACTCCTTCTTTGTAAGAAGTAAAACAGTAGAGAATTCAGCTAGCATGTTCCTGCTATAAGATGGGTCTGGTCATTTGTTCAGACTTCCAACATATATATCTCAAAGAGTTGACAAGACAAGAAACTGCTAACAATTATATAAAAGTTCTTAGGAAAAAAATTGATGTAGGAGCCCATTATTGCTAGCTATCTTTTATAACATACAAGTTGTTAAAAAACATTGGACTTATACTTGATAAATTACAATAACCTTAAATGGGATAGATGTAATACCTCAACTAGAAATTGAGATGTCTTTCAGATATTGACTAGTACTTTTTTAACCTGATTAAAAGAGTAACTAACCGTTAACAAGATTGTATTTATTTGCTAACAGAGCTGCTTGCACTCCCTTCCCGCTGCCTTTACATCCAATCAAAATGATGCGAGGTGTATGAGGAGCAGAAGACCTGGGTTGGCAACACAGGAAGGAAAAGGCTGAAGATGAAAAAAAGTAAAATTGTATTTTTGAGAAACAACGTATGTGCTGAGTAATGCTCACAAATAAATTACCATAGTCATGATCAGTTTCAAAATCATTGCTTATAATTTATTTATATAGTTATTCTTCTTTCTTACAGTGCATAATATAACATTTTTTAAAATGCATTCTGATAAATGATCAACAAAAACCCATATTCTAAGTGATGTGTTAAATTTCAAATTCAAAGAAATAGCACATCATATAAAAAAGAAAAAAAAGTACAGACAGAAGGTAAATAAACATTGCCATGACATGAATCATTTTTGCTAATTAACTGTTTTCAACATGATATATCCAATGTATTTTTATCTTTATATGAAATATTAATCTCAAATCTATGTAGTAAAAATTAAAGGTCAATCTTACTTTATTTAGTATTAAAATTATTCATTTTTTTGTAGAATCCATTATACTATAGCAAGTTGAGTCTGGGAACATTTGTGGAACGTTTGTTTTCATAAACTTGACAAACAAAACTTAGCTCATATTATATCTCAAATTTAAAATACCTTGCCTAAGTCAAAATTCAAACTGCACAAATCTTAAGGCAAAATGAACTACCTTGTGAGAAAACATCTGCTTTGGGTTGATCGGCATTAACTTTTTTGACTACCTGCTCATAGCAACGCAGAATTCCATCAATGTGGCGATGGTAGACAACAAGCTTGTTAAACATGTCCACTTCTTTATATCCTTTGGGCTCTTTCAGTCGGTACTGTACCTCCGGATTACCAGGCCAATCAAATGTTGTGTGGTA